GGTAATAATTGATCATTAATGATGATAATTGATCATTAATGATGATGATTGATCATTGATGGTGATAATTGACGTTAACCTGCTGCCACAAAGGGACAAATAAAGAAATAACTCATTTGCATTACAGTGTTTGGTGTCCTGCCTCATTTTGTGCTTAATTATTATCACGTTTCAGACTGCAACCAACTGAATACAGCTCAGCCTTAACACTGTAACACTGCAGCTGCACAATTCATCTAAATATCATCGAAATCACAACACGGTTAAGTGTGAAATGACTTATGTCCAGCTGATTAAACACTAATGGAAACACACTTATTGATATTAATAATAGAAACAGATTCTCCTCAGAGTTTTTAGAGTCTTAAGGAGTCCAGATCTGACAAGTCCGGGTAAAGTGGTCTTTGATCTGGTCCAATGTGGTCTAAAGGTCACGACGTGTGTTTCAGACTTTATAAAGCTTTCACAACAGTTTCCAATAACAGCTTCTTTCCTGCATCAATGTAAATCAACAGTTCACACACATTATATCATTAATAACAGATCAACACCAGTAACGTTATATATCACCATCACTGATCGATTTACATTATATCCAATTATCGGTTTAATTAAATTACTTCTTTATTTGGATTTATTATTACTTCAATTCAATTAAAGTATGTTGAAACCAACTTCACAAACCGGATGTTTACTTTCACTGATGTTGTCCTGGTGTCACACTTAAATGCGCCCGTGTGAAGTGATGACTGTGACGCTGTGAGAGAATGAACACGTGAGTTCCACCCGGAACCTAAAGAGTGAAAGTTAACCGGAGCACAAAGGATTTAATAATTAACGTTAAACACCGACTTCAACGTTCCCGGTTCTTACCTGACAGACAACCGACACCGGACAAACTTCCGGTTTTAACGAAGTGAAAACAAACATAAAATGTCTCCGAGTTCATTTATTTAATCATAAAACTGAAATTATTAATAAAAACTCTCAGTTTGATCTCGACAGTGTCAGCTCACTGCCGCCATGTTGGTCCGAACCGGAACTGGAGGAGGAGAAGGAGGCGGGAATCTGATGCTGCGTTCACTGCGGTCAGGAAAAACTAACACTGTTTTAAAATTCAATTTAAGTGCTATTTGTCAAATTATTAATTACACAAAAAGATAAAACTAAAAACAGGAATTACAACGAAATAACGTAAAATCAAAATATCTAAACAAATATATGAGATAGAAGGTTGAAACACAAACAATATAATGATTTATCAAAACAAATCTATATAAATAAGATCACAGCAAATGT